TTTTTTTCTCCCAGACACTTCCCTTTGACTTTGAAGGTCACTGTGGTGATGAAGAAGCGAGTCGTTTCAGCCAATCTCCGCTGGGAACGCATCATATACTACACTCCATTAATTAACTGTTCCATTTATATCCATTCGTCATCTACTCTGCGTCTGTGATGGATTTTCTGATCGTCGTCCCTACACTTGTTTTGTGTCAGGCCAAATGTTCCTAAGCCAATCCTATGTTTTCAATATTCTTTTCATTCAAGTTAACATGGGTAAACTGTATGAGATTAGTTCATTGTCAAGTGCCAATAGAAATTTATTGGAGAGGTTTTCAATTTGCCTTTTACCAAGTTTTTTTGAAAAGCCAATTGTATTTTAGTGCCATGCAAATCAGCTTTCACCCTTTCTTGAGATAATTATTTCTTATTTACAACCAACAAAACAGGTTGAAGATTGAAGGTACAAGTTTTAAAGGGCAAACCTTCAATTTCTGTTTTTTTGCAAATGACATCTACATAATGATAGATGAAATGATTCATCAAAAACTGAAAACCAAAATAAGTAGAATATTATGTTCTAGTGCATGTATGTCTGTGGCCTGTTAATTTTATTCTTGTTCTTTAAAGAAAACAACAGAAAGCAGAAACCTGGTCTGATCTAATAAAAGGCTTCCACAGACTTACACCAGACAAAGAACGTTATTGTCCTATTGCTTTGATATCTTAAAATCACCAATAAACAATATTGATATTCTGTCTGTGTGCTCTTACCGCACACAATACGTTTCAGCAATTACAAGTCATTCAGTTGTGAGAGGAATTCTTGAAGTCCGGCCGAGGAAGTGAAATAGAGATCAGGACTATTTCAGTTCGGCATTAGAATTGATCTTGCATTACCGCATATACAGTAGAACCTGTATCGCGGCTGGTGGCGTAATATAGATCGTCCCAGTGAGAAACAGCAACTGAAGAGTTTTGGAAGAGTCACTAGGAAAACAGAAGCACAGAATAGTCTCAAAACAAACAGCTCGTAGCCTTGAGTCAGAGCGAGAACAAGCTGCAAGATAATCCTCTTATGTTGATTCCGAGCCATTATGGGGGGTTTTTGTCAACATTAAGGAGGGTTTTGTCAACATTCTACAACTAATTTTTGAGTTACGATAATACGACTGTAGAAGGAGGGCTGACGTTTGCCTTATTATGGAAGAATACTCCACTAGTGAGAATCTGGAGCCAAGCAAAGTATGTATAGCAACAACCTAGCAACCAAAGAGCCAATTGGCACTGTAAACCCTGACAAGTCAAGTTTACTTGAAAAAACCATGGAAATAAATTGCGTATTAACTTCACTTGAATTCCTCGAGTACATCGTTTACTTGATATTATCAAGTAAACTCGAGTGATTGCAATAAAGTTTAAATTTATACTTATGATCCGACCGGGATTTGTACTCAGTACCCTGTAGTTGAGAGGTAATGGTGCTACCCACTCAGCCACCAGGCCACCCTGCCATTGTCACACCTGCCTCATTAAAGAGTCTACACATCAAAATGTCAAAAGTGAGGCTTACTTGAACAGAAACAGTTCAATTCAAAGAAAACCCTGAGTGATATAGCCAAGCTTTAATTAAACTAACAATAAATGAGTAATATCTACTTACTGGGAAAAATCTATTTAAAATAACTTTGATATCTGAAGTAGGATTGAAGTCAGGGTTTACAGTGATAGTGATGCTGGCAGAAAATTCAGGAACAGATGGCACCTGATTGGTCAGTTGTTATTCTCATTGTGAATCTGCATAAAAGCACAATCGCAATAAAACAGCAGAAACATTCACAGTGCTAAACAACAGATTTATCAACCCAAAATAGTGAGTTTAACACAAGCGGTTAGAAAGTTAGGAGAGTTTACTTTTCAATATAAGTGAATGGAGCCAAGTGAGCTGGAGCAACATTCTTCTACCGGGCTCCATTGAGATAGTGAGTTATAATTGTCCATCTATATTCAGTCTTAATTATGGCACAAACTCACACACAAATAAACAAAAAAAATTACAATTCATCCAGGGCTGTTCCAGCTTGGCCAACCCCTCACCCCACACCAACTTCATCAGACTTTCACAGATTTTTGCGAACATTTCAGCAATAGATTACATACAAGACCTGACTGTGGCCTTATTTTCCAGCGTGCACCAAAAACCTATAGCAGTATGCGAGTTCCAACTCCAGAGCCCAGAGTGCTTGCTTTGATCCACTTGTAGCTGCCACACATCCATCAGTCACCCCACACTTGGAACAGGATTGGGCGCGCTCCGGAGGGCTGTTGCCGGGGCAGCTTAATGGAGTGTGGGCACGGCTCCACGGCTTGCCACGGCACTCCTCGGGGAGCTTCCAGCCACATTTTCATTGTTAGGCTCTTGGAATCAAAGGGCCACAACACCGAGAGGGAAGGAGACTCCAGAATGCAGTATATTTCTGTGATATTTTCTCCTTTCTCTAAAGTATCAGGGGACTTGCACAGGAGTAGGACTGTGCCCGCGATCAATCTTGTATGAGTGGGGAAGTGGAGCAAAATCTACTTACACCTGGATACACCTGCTTGCAGTCTTGTTAGTGACTCCACAAGTGCAGTAGATAAACAACAGGAGGATACAAGGTGATAGTAGATAGTGGTGTGAGGAAATCTGAGGTTAGTTTGTACATTAAGATATAGGAAGTATAGTGTTGGAATATGTCTAAGCTAACAAAATACATCTTCATTCGAAATAAAAAAACAAATTTCTCAAGGTTTCACTATTAAATTCACCGGTTATCATATACTTTATAATTTACTGCAATATACTAAAATTGACTGGGAATTAGAAGTCCCTTTCTCTGTAAGATTTGAATACTTCCTCTGTAAAACTATGCAAGATCAAATCATAATTTAACCAACTAGCTACAGTAGCTGTCATATTTAAAGACACCACCGACTTGACATTGAACGTACAGTAATGTTATGCTGTGATTATAAAGGCAAGACCAGCTTATTTGTAAAGCACTGTTTAAACAGAAAGGAAAGAAAAGAGTGAGGACACTCTAAACTAGGTAACCCAAACATAAAGTGAATTGTACATGTATATTCCAAAGCAAGTTCAAGTACTGCTTCTTGATTGGATATCCATTTAAACGCTTGATACAAAGTCATGTGTGCCTCTTGATATTGGTCAAACTATTCTCCAGCAACTTACTGGTGGTGGTTAGGCCAAGGACATGGGGACAAAAATTTAATTGTTTTTGAAAAAATACTTACTTTACAAAAACTAAAGAGAACAATACAATATAATCTAAATATCTGACCTCACCTTTAAGGCTGTTTTACTCCCCACAAAGCTGCTTTATCAATGAGAAACATTATTACCATTACTCCTTTGCAGAGAGGGAAGGCAGAAAAGTCACACAAACACCTCAACAATATCCTCTCACACTATTCCTTACACTTTGCAGTTGCACCACATACGCAGGTGTTTGCAGGTGAAATGGAAGACAAGCACCTTATTCCAGAGCAAACCCAGTCACAAGTGCGATGTTGGCAGCTGAGGAGATTACATCCGCTGCCCCCCTGTCTGCTAAAGTGTGAGAAATCCTCCACCGTAGAGAAAATAACTGGAGAGGTGCCCACTGCGCACACAAAATGTATTTATTTGCACTGGCCTGGAGCTGACCGACCGCCGCTCTGTTTTTGTCCTTGAAGTTTGCCTCTACACTTTCACACGAGCCACTTCTCGGTGCGTGGAATAATGATGCAGACGCAGGAGGAAGTCTCTATTTGCGCCTTTATTCTGGTGTTCTGCAGGTTTCCGATGGCTTTTATAGAAGATCAAAAAAGGGAAGCAAGTACAGGTCGCGTGAATATACAGAGTTGTTCTTTTGTAAAGCCTTTATCTGAAAAACCAGAGGGAAACTGGTTGAAAGGCAGGGGCAGTAAAAACGTATACAAATGGCAGGGAGCATCTTAAAAGACGAAATGTGTGAGTGTGTATTTTTTCATTTTCATTGTTTTATATCTTTCTTTTTAATGCACTGTGATTATTTATAAAATCTTATTCCTGTCAGTAAGCTTCAAATAGATATGTTTACTTACTTTTCCCTCTGAAAAGCTGTTTATAAGATATAAGAAAGGCCAGCAAAATAAGAATTCTTGCACAAACTAGTAATGTACCTTGTTGCTTTCAGAGCTAAGATGGACAGTAGATTAAAAAATAAAATAAAACGCTGGAGCTATAATTGCACTTGGTTCAGAAGTATTTACAGTTGTGTGCATTGTACTTTAGCAGCGAGGAATATGAGCAGAATAAACAATAGCAACAATATCAGCAGGAAAAGTGACTAGTGACTGCCAGAATGTCATATTAATCGATATGCAAAAATACCGTATAATAATAAAATATTATCAGTAAC